ACTAAATATTATTTTTTGGATAAATATTTCAAAATTTACATGTTTACAAGATTCTATTTTTTCAAATTTTCTTTGTTTCTTTGTTTGCCAGGATGTAGAGCTATCAATAAACTCTGATATCTCTGTAATTGATTAGATTTTATTTTTTCTTCTTCTTTTTCCAAGATTTCCCAGTTTTTTTATTTTCAATAACCGATTTTTACATATAGTACATACTTCCATAACAATTTCAGCTTTTTAACTGGATTAATTTCTAATACTTTCAATTCTTTTGCTTTAATCTGTGAAGACTGTAATTATTACATAACATTCAAAAATAAAAAAAGACTAATTTAACTTTTTTTATGTGTGTTATTCTTTAGATGCTTAGTGAGTTCAAGTATTTTTGACATTTAAAAAATCTTAATATGAAAATAAAATATATAATTATATATATATATATATTCGTTTGTAATATATCGATTCTTTCACTAAAATTCAATTTAAATCCAAAATCAATAGAATTCACAGATATCCCCGAAATATATCTCTTTACACGAAATGAAAAAAATGTCCAAAATTATTGATTTTACCAGCATTACGATTCAGATACATTCAGAAACTGTGTAGGGGGTCGGGGAAAGGGGGGTTGAGGGGTGGTATTTTGTAGATTTAGAAAAATTACAAAAACCAATTTATTCTTTAATATGAAAGCAAAAAGTAATCATAACAATTGAGACAAATCTACATTTTTAAACACCCCCCACTCTCCCCCTTCGGAATGAAACGAATAAAAAATTAGGATGTATTTTTCATTTTCGTATTTTCTGTATTCCTAATATGGATTTTTCAAGAGATGAAAGGGTTGATATCAATACACACGCGCGTCACGCATCAAATATGCAGAAACTGATTTTTTGATACAAAAAAGATTTTTATTAAAAAAGTATTTTTCTATACTACTTAAAAGATTCGAAGCTAAGTTTTGTTTGAGGATAGAATTTTCTTTTCTATATATATTGGTTGCACTAGGATGACGAGTGAAGGGTATTATATATAGATGCACGATNAATATCATACTTATTGATTATTTCAATTTATGTAAAAATTACAGGTTTTAATCATAATTTGCATTCAACCGTCACACCTCATCAACCAACAGACTCTGGTTTAAATCCTACCATTTATCCATCCTTCATCTTATTAATCCATTCATCGATCCTTCATCTCATTTATCCTTTAATCCATCTCTTCTCTCATTCATCCATCCTTCATCTCATTCATTCATCCTTTCATTCATATCTTCTCTCATTCATCATCCTTAATCTCATACATTCATTCATTCATCCATCCTTTCTCTCATCCATCCATCCTTAATCTCATTCATTCATTCATTCATATCTTCTCTTATTCATCCTTCCTTGCTTCATCTCATTCATACATTCATTCATTCATTCATCCATCCCCTCATTCATTCACCTAAACCTCCTCTTATGTTTTCTGTCTTACTTTAGACTTATTTTTGATTTTAAAACATTTTATGAATCTAAATATATTTTCCAATGACATGTAAAGATGTAAGAAGTTAAAAAGAAATTCATTTTTCAAAAAATTTCAATCTATTGAATTTTTTCTCTGATCTTGAGTTCGTCCATGTTTAATATATACAGAGCATAATACTAGGATTTAAATTTGAATAAAAAATATCCCCTTAACGGATCCAACTGGACCCCCCTCCCTCTCCCTCTTCATAAACTGATATACTGCCTACTTCAAATACCGTCAACGTATGATAAAAGTGTATTAATAATTTAAGCTAAATAAGGTCGGCCATACTGCCTGACAAACCAAATTGACTTTTAAGATTAAGATATAAAATCTTTTGCAAGATTCTACTTTTTATACATTCCACCATTTAAATCTATCTATAGTATTTTGTATTTCTAAATCGTTGAAATACATATATCTTGAAATCTTTCTATCTACTTATAAACCTCCCAGGCACTGCATGAATGATTATGACAAATGGTTTGAAAAGTTCCTAAAAAAGCTGATTTCCATGTATATTGAATTGCATATTTTAGGCAAAAATTTGTCCGTTTTTGGAGTTTGTTTAATATGTTTGTTAGCATAAAGATAAGCGAGAAAGATGGATCGCTTTTGGCACAGCGGGGAACCCTCACGCCCTTTCAGAGGGGGGTTTAAAAATAAAACTAAAAAATTCCACATTTTTTGTTTTTAAATACCAAAACTAAACTAATTTAATATAAAAAATGCAATAATTTGCAGTTGTTTAAATCTGTAAGTTTTACTTGTTTAAACCCCCTAGAGTGGTCCTATAATGTATTTTATAAACAGCTTTTTTACGCGAATGATTTATAAATTCTGCGCAGCTCTCATGGATTGATCGGCGATTATAATTGATTCAAATCGTTTTGTTTACCTGTCATTTTATACTAAACTTTTTAGTGAATATTTTTTTCTATGTATCTATCTATATCTTTATTCACCTATCTTTATCTATCTATCTTTTCTCTATCAATCTTTATATATCTATCCATCTATCTGCGGAGGCCAGACAGAGGCTACAGTGCAATGGCTTTGTGTTAAAACTGGTTCAAGGATAGATATATTCCCTCCAGGTTTTCAGCTAACTATTCGAACTTTAAACTTTTTAAGATTGTAACCATTTTTAAATATTTACTCTCTTATATTTTCCATCATGTTTTATTAAAAATATTTATAAAAAGCACAAAACAAAGAATTGGTGTTTAATATATATTATTACCTTTATTGCTTAATTTGACCATAATTTCTCTTACTTACCCCCCCCCCCCCNTTCTTCCCCCCCCCCCTTTCTTCATTCATAATTGATTGGATCCTAATATGTACTTCTATTATGTATCTTAAGAAAATTTTACTTTTTTCTCAATTATAAAAATCTTCCGGAAAATTCAATGATTTTCCTCCGAATATTTTTTCATTGACCTTTTCAGAAATTCCTTTATTGACTTTCTTTTAAAACATAAATTTCCATTTTGTTTATTAGCTTCAAAATCCTCCCTGGTATATCCTTCCTTCCAAGGCTTAAAAAACCAGGACAATAAACTCCTATAATTTCCCCACAGGATAAAATAGATGGATAGATAGTTGGATAGTTGGATAGTTGGATATTTGGATAGTTGGATAGTGTCTGCTCAGACTATAGACTAATTGTAAAAAACTAGTTGACCTTTTACCATGAAACTTTGGGAAACTTAGAGGACTTACACACTTTTTACCTTCACTTGTAAATCCATATAAAACTATTTTTATTCCTTATTGCAATCTAGAAACATTATGAACTGTTAACCCTATCCCTGCTGGGGTACTTGAAAACCAGGATACGCTTGGGGGAGGGGCAATTTGACCCTCCTCTAAATCCCATGTTTAAAGTCCAAATATGACAAATAATACATCATTGAAAAGTTCATATAGTCTACTTTTAGAATCTGCAAAGAAAATTTCTAAGGAATTGAGTCTTTTTCGCAAACTATGATTTTCTCATCTCTAAATCTTTGCAACCCAATGCCGTAGACCTTAGATATTTCAAACTATGAATACTGTTAGATGAAAGAATCGAAGTTTGAAATATCAAAGGTTTACACCATCAAGTGGAAAAATATAGGTATTAGAAAATCAAAGTTTGTTACCAAGACTCAATTTCTTTGCAAAAAAATTTTTTTTTAGCAAAATCCACTAATATAGTTAAAATGTTTACAAAAAATAAAATGTCAAAACATGATAAAATATACATTTTTGAAAAGCCCTTGACCATGCAATTTCAAGTATGCAAAAAATTTGCAAAATTTTAAATTACTTGATGTGTAAAGAAGAAAAACTAAAAAAGTGAAATTTTTTTGACGGGTTGTATGCAAATAATTAGCAAAAATTTCTTTGCAAAACGTGTACAATCCGTGTCCTTATGTCATAGGCTTTCAAAAAAGCTAAAAAATATCAAAATCTGATAACTGAAAGTGGGACACAACAAAGATTTAGTTTGTTACAAAAAAGTAGCCATTCAGGCAGTGTGCCTGAGTTCTCAGGCAGTTAGTATAACAGCCCGGCTTTAGACCTATAGGGAGGGCTTTGGGTCAGAAAAATTTCAACAGCCTCAAACCAATACTTTTAAAGTTATGTAAAAAAAAAAACTACAGGGGGGGGGTCAGCAGCAGGAATAGGGTTAAAGGTTAAAGGTAAAGGGGGGTAAGCACCAACTAGTGATGTGAAAGGGGGGGCTAATGGGGAAGACAGAGAAAAAAGTCAGATTTTCGGAACAAACAATTAATTATTCACAATAAAAATAAAAATTTATTTGTATACATTAGCAAAACACTTGAATATTTTTAGCAGATGTTTTGATGCTAATTATTTAGCTAAATAATAGATTATATAGTTTAGTTTACCAAATACTAGGTTAGGGTGATGTTTAAGTCATAATTATTAGTTAATACAGGGTGTCCCACATCATATTGGATTCAATACAGAGGTCGTATTCCATGGATAACGATGTTTTCTGTAGATGTGATTACCAATTTCGTGGAAATATCTAAATCTATTGAGTTATTTTACGGATAGATAGATATTTCCGAAGAGACTTCTCCATTAAATATCGTCATCTATTGAGGGGGTGGGAAAAGGGGGGAGATGATTAAAATTATTTTTTAAGGATATAAAATTGTGTACAACTTCTTTACAGGGAAGGTAAACATGTTCCTGCAAATTATATTCCCTTCTCCGGATGCTTTACGGGACAAATTGCTCTCACATTGTAAATTCTATTAACCTGCCTGTAAATAGTTCAAATTCAATTCTCGTGTATTTTTACCAAATTAGACTTTGAATTGGTCTTGAACAAGTTTTGAAATGAAATGAAATATTCCAGATGATGATGAATGCTTGTGATGATGTGTGGCTAAAAAACATATTTACATTTTTTATTTTAACTTTTTTAAACTTTAAATGAATATTTTTTATTTCAGTTTGCTCCCACAACTATCCATTAACCGCATGGACCCACTTTCACAGGTAAAACTGTTTTATCCGTTTTATTTCTTTTTTTTTTGCTTTCCTGATCAATTTTCAACTTTTTTGCTCTTTGTGTTCATTTACATACATTAAAACATCGTATTTTTCAATTATTCTGTGTTAACATTATCTACATAATAAAGCTCTTCGCTCATCCCTGGGGGTAACAAAGAAGAAAAAATTCAACTATTTTTTTAATATCACGGGCAACACCGGGCACTTCAGTGAGTCCTTAATTTTCATCATGAGTTACAAATTATCCTTTTGTTTCAAAATTGTTTTGTAATTTTTGATATTTAATTCAACAATTATCCTTTTTTTTATATCTCAATATAGTAGAACATATGTTTATCTAGGTGTTTTCCTTGAAGTGGAATAACCATCGGACAAACATGATAAATGTTATGGAACGCCTTCTTAACTCAGAGGTAACAACAATATTTACATAACATAACAACAATACAACAATAACATAACATAGCATAATAACAAGACAACAATAACATGCCATAACATAACATAACATAACAACAATATTACAACACAACAATAACATGACATAACATAACATAACATAACAACAATACTACAACACAATAGCACAACATAACAAAAACACAACAACAACACAACAAAATAACTACAACATAAACATACAACATAACAACACAACACTACAACAGCACACCAACACAACACCACAACAAAACAAAGCAACAATACAAAAACGCAACAAAACAACACTACAATAACATAACAGCACAACATAACAACAACACAACAACACAACAACACAACAGCTCAACATTACAACAACACAACACAACATTATTACAACAACATAATAAAACAACAACACAAAAACACCTACTCACAATAACATTCCATCAACATAACAATACAACAGCACAATATTACAACAAAACTTCAACACAAGAACACAACATTACAACAACACATTGCAAAAAAATATTAATATTATTTAAGATGTTCTGTGACGTGACTATAGCTTGTGAAGGAGGATCTATAAAATGCCATAAAATTGTTCTCTCCGCCTCCTCGGCTTATTTCGAGAAACTTTTCCTAGAAAATACTTGTGAACATCCGATCGTCTTTCTTAAGGTACAGAATACATTTAAACAGTTATTTAGACAGATAGACAGACAGATCTTTAGGCAAACAAAAATAAGAATTAAGATTTGTGAAGGCAACAAGTAGAAATGACATAGAAGATATATTGATGGTGTACACTGGACAGGAGTACAAGGAGTACTATGAGTGCAATGTACAGGGTTTGCAAGGGTTACTTTGTTACAAAGTATGTAAATACATATGTATTTATTCTAGAATGTTAAAAAGCAGCAGATAAAAGCTATTATTGCGTACATGTATATATTCTAGGATGTTAAAGAGCAGCAGATAAAAGCTATTATTGAGTACATGTATATATTCTAAGATGTTAAAGAGCAGCAGATAAAAGCTATAAATAAGTACATGTATATATTCTAAGATGTTAAAGAGCAGCAGATGAAAGCTATAAATAAGTACATGTATATATTCTAGGATGTTAAAGAGCAGCAGATGAAAGCTATAAATAAGTACATGTATCTATTCTAGGATGTTAAAGAGCAGCAGATGAAAGCTATTATTGAGTACATGTATCGAGGAGATGTATCTATCTCCCAGGATGAACTCCCTGCTCTTCTCCGGGTAGCAGAGCTTCTCAAGGTTAAGGGTATGATGGAGGAGAGGAGAGAGTGCAAGGATCTATCCCGCCCTAAAACCTCCTCCCCTGCCCCCACCCCTCCCTCCTCAACACCAACCACCTCCCCACGGGCAGAACGGCTATCCCACCCTCCCACATCCCATCCTATTCACACCCCTACCTCAATTCCCCAGGGACATATGGGACATAATTTCCGCCCCTTCCTGACACCCCCAGGACAGGGATCAACGCCTCCCTTCCCTATGTGGCCCCTGCCGGGCCTGTTCCCCACCCAGCACAACATGTTCTCACAGAGGGAGGACATGAAACCTCTTATTCCAGGTACAGATCTATTTATCTGTTCTCTTTATGTTATTTTTTACATTAAGAAAATTTTCTGTATTTTAAATGAAAATGCTCTAACAAGGCTTAAATCCAGGACCGAAGGATCGGACTAAAGTCAGTAGCGGGGGTTCAGGCGAGAAGGATATTTCATCCCTGCCTCCCTTGGTACCTAGAGAAGGTATAGATGATAAGAACTGCTATGAGAGACAGTGCGGGTCCCCAGATGAGAGAATGTATGATAAATCTCCCAAACCTTCTCCATATGAACATGGAGGAATAGGAAAACTTGAAGGTATTATCATTATCTAATACATTCTGTTATCATTCATATCATCTCAATGGTATCACTATTTTTATGCTCTGTATATATAATATTGATCTATGAACACTGTACAGGTATAGCTGGTTATGTACCAACCCAACGCTTGGAATGGAAAAGATACAAACAGTACACAAGATCAGATATTATGGCTGCCATAGAAGAAGTTAAAAAAGGTAAACCTCCTTCATCTTTGTTATTTCAAAAAATGTCTTTATTTTTAAATTACAATTAAACATAATAAACTTTATTTTTTTATGGCACATTGTACTGGGTAGGATTCCGGACATTTAATTCATAGGCATACCCACTACCCGGTATCTTTACATATTTAGGATTCTATCTATCTATCTACTGTTGTATCTATGGATTATCAGTTAGATCTGTACACCCACCAAGGTCTGAAAAAGGGTTGTAATTCCGCCCACCGGATCCATCAGATTTTAACCAAAAAACTTGTCTGAAACTTAGGTTACGTAGGAGCACTGGCTGTCTACATCGACAAATTAATATAAAGATTTTAAACAAGTTTTGTTAAAACAAAAAAACAAACAATTTTTTGGGGCGATTTTAGATTCCTCCTCATGCTTTATCAGACTTGTTTACTTTACACCTTGGTGTATCGATTACAAATGCAATACAATCAAGGACTTAAGATCCACCTAATCATACTGTACACAACTTAACAAGGAGGAAACCGGGGGACCGGGGACCGACTGTTAGTAAAAATATAGATTTGTTTTTCCGACTTTTTCTTTTTGTTCATTTTTTTTTTGGGGGGGGGGGTTTATTTAATTCAATTTACCTAATTGCTTTCAAGGTACAATTTCCAATATTTACTTTTTATTTCAGATTATTTTGTATATTTAAAGCTTTTAATACAATATTTCGGATAAAAAAAATCGTCTGCAATTGAAAGTTTTTTTATGAAGATATTATTTTAGGAAAATCAGCTCTACAGGTTTCCAAGAAGTTTAATATCCCCAGCCGGACTCTATATGACAAGGTAAAAAGATAAAACTTTTTTTAAAATTTGAAGAAAATTATTTTTTAAAGATGTTTTCACCGTAATTATTTTTAGGTAAAAAAGATGGGTATTACAACAGGGAGACAACAGCAAAGGAAATCAATGGGTGGAACTTTTAACGGTAAGTTAAAAAAAAAATAAAAAAAATAAAGCAGATTTTAATTATTTTTTGTGTAGCGTACTCTGCCGCCTTCCCCGGCATGAACATGATGAGCCCCTTGAGCAGGTTGGACGGACTTAATATGGATAATCCATACAAGGTAGGAATTGATTTTGTTTTGATGGAGTGTAGATGTAGTTATAAATGACACTCAATATTTATGGATGGGCTTTTCTGGTTCACATCTTGTTCTACAAAAGTGATACACGGATGACTTGCTCCAGAAAAAATGAAGGAAATTGTAAAATTATACACTTTTCAAACTAGAATAACGACGATATTTTCCATATTATTGTTCAGAAGATTTAAATGACACTGTTGTGAATCAGACATGGCCCTATTTAAATTTTTCGGTCACTTGAAATTATAACAACAGAGTTGGGAACTTGGGGATTAAAGCTTGATCTCTAACCTGTAGATTAATCTAATCTGTATTCAACTTTCCGAATGGTATGTACACTGTAGGAATAACTGAAATGAAGAGAGTAAGCATTGATCCTGAAATAAAAAGAGTCCACAGTAGATATCGAGATCACGTAATCGGAATTATGAGTTTCCAAAACTAAGGTTCCCAGCTCAGTTCCCAGCTATAATACATTAACTCTAATATTGTATTTAACTTACAAAAATAAATTGATTTTTGTATTCATAAATTTTTAAATTCTGCAATATTCTTAGAAACCCTAGAGTTCTCTTTCTATACAATTCACTTTCTTTCCATCTTCTGATTTAACATATTCAAGGAAATCTATTCAACCTTTACCATGCTTACCATGCTAAATATGATATTTCAAAGTCAACAAAAAAAAATTTTCTTAAAAAAAGTTTAATGTAGGATTTAATGGATCGGATGAAAGAGGCACGAGATGAAGAAGAGAGGGAGGGGAGGGAGGGAGAGGGGAACACTCACCCTCCCTTTAACATATTGTCCCCTCACATGCTGAACATGATGGAGAGGATGAAGGGTGAGGGAGAAACAAGTCCCATGAACCTCAGCTCAGAGAGAGATGAGAAACCAAGGATATCAGATGGCAGGTGTGTAATCAAAACATGTTGTTAAATTTTTATTTTTACTTTTGTTTCATCAATAACATTTTTCTTCCTTGTCTTACATGTCATTCATTTAATTTTTCTTTTAGTATCCCACAGTCCCCCAGCCCTAGTTCTGCCGAGCTCACCTCCCCCAGCAACCCCCAGACCTCCCCTGGGGAGTATAATCCTACCTCAGATCATAGATCCCACTCCCCTCCACCCATAGATATCCATGCACAATTCCTGGCCGGACTCCGTCATCTAGGAGACCACCGTCCCTCCTCTCCTATAGAAGCAGAACATAGTAGAGCTGGATACACCAGTCCACAGGACAATCTTCCACCACGTAAACGCAAAGTCTCTCAGGACCATGACAGATCCAAGATGTCGTCTTTACATGAAAAAATGGCTTCTTTGCCAGAAAAGATGGCGGACATGAACGGTTTACACGAGAGAGACCGGAATATGGCTCCGGTTAACTGACACGGGCCTCAAGGTCATATTGACCTAGACATTGACCAACCTCTTAACCTGCAGGTTCGGAGGTCGGACTTGAGAACCTCAAGGGCTTGCACTTAATCCATAAACAATTAAAGGACCTTTAGGATCCGTCATAATCTAATCTAATGAGAGAGAATTAAAAGTCTGATTATTAAATGTATACTGTATAAGACTGAGCTAATTACTTGTCAATGAAACAATAGTTCTCACTAAAACAACTTAATAAATTATAGTTTATCTATGAGAAATAAGACTGCAACCAATACTTGTGTGTTTAAGACTGAGTTTAGTCACATAAATGTAAAAAGACTGATCTATATTATATTGTTAAAACCATGCTTTGGTAATTCATCTCTTAATGTACAAACATGTTAAACCTGTTCTTTAATTAAATTTGTTTAAAGTATAAAAATATCCATATTCCTTTTAAACTTATATGATCAGTAGATTCATAGAGCTGCACAAACTAATCAATTAAAATACGTTTTATCCAATAGTTGAATATTTTAAAACTTTTTAACAAAAAATATTGGATTCGTGTCTTTTGCACGAACCTTCTGTTTTGAATGTATGAACGTAAAGGTATGACAGGATGGGTCAATATTATCTTGATAATCTCCCCCCCCCCCTCCTGTTTCAATGTCTGTGATTGTTTCTCATCAATATTGTGATATGTTTAAGCGTTGAGACTGTGTAGCTGTTGGATGAAAATCCATTAATTTATCTAAAATACTATTTTTTAGTTTGTGTTTTAACAATAATGAGTGTTTATAACACTCCAGTGTATTTTTAACAATAATGAGTGTATATAACACCAAGTTGTGTTTATAACACTAAAGTGTTTATATAACACGGGGTGTGTGTAACACTAAACTGTTTATATCACACGGTGTGTGTGTAACACTAAAGTGTTTATATAACACGGTGTGTGTGTAACACTAAACTATTTATATAACACGGGGTGTGTGTAACACTAAACTGTTTATATAACACGGGGTGTGTGTAACACTAAACTATTTATATAACACGGGGTGTGTGTAACACTAAACTGTTTATATAACACGGGGTGTGTGTAACACTAAACTGTTTATATAACACGGGGTGTGTGTAACACTTAAAGTGTTAAATATGACACTAACTAGCGTTATAAAACTAATGTGTGTTTATTAAACTGATGTTTGTTTATAAAACTAATGTGTGTGTTTAAACACTCCTGTTCGGTTATAAACACTCCTGTGTGTTTGTAACACCACTATATCTGTTGAGGAATGAAATCTATTCCTAGTCCAGTCGTATCGATGAATTAAACTGGTGAAAGATGAATGTAACCAAAAAAGTGTGGAAGAACTAGACAACTAGTCCTCTGCATACAAATCTGGTGATTAACCTTCGACTAGAATATAATTTCTTACCAATTAATCAATGTTATTCTTGTGAGAAAAAAATCATTAAAAACTCTTTTTTTTCTGAAAAGTCAATGAAATGGTAAAATGTAATAATATTTCTAACTAATATATTCAAGGTAGCAAAAAGTTCTAAAAAGACGGAAAGGTTTAAATTCTTAGATGGAGATGTAGTAAATTTTATAAAACTGAACAAAATAACGTACTAAACCTTGAAGTTATATAAATGGTTATATAAATAATAAAATATTTTATATAAGATTTTAACATTTCATTGTAACTCATAAAAATATACTTGCCATATTCAATTGGGTTGATGACACCCTGAAAAAAATTCTTAAGAATTTTATCAACTTTGAGTTTTCCTGATTATTTAGTTTTGCTCAGTCAATAGCAAATTATAAACTTTGAATTTCTTATTTTTTTTCATTATAAAACTTTGTAATTTTGTTCTGTTGATTGTGTGTGATGGGTGTACACAGATTGTACATGATCATAAAACTGTTGTAATACCACGCTAAATATGTTCTTGTTCTTTGTACGGTTCATGTACACTGTACATGTAGTATTCACTGTAAAACCTAGATAGATAAATATTATATATGTATTTAACATTTGATTTTGTGAGGCGCGTGTGAACTATGTGATCAAATACCAAGAATTGCACAAGAGTTGCATTAAAAAAAGAGCAACATCCAAGTGTCACAAGGTCGTCGTGACATTAGAATAGTACATGTATGGCGTAGAAGGCGAGTTTTCTTAAAGGGATGTTCCTGTCTCGAGAAATTGATTTAAAACTGTGTTGCAATTATACGAAAGTTCATATATGTAAAATTTAGAAAATCTTAAACTTAAATCATGTGACCAGAACTATCACCAATGGCAGAGCAGTATACTGATCACGTGTCTCCACCTGTATCACGTGACCACTTTACTGCACTGCCATTGGTGGAACTTCTGGTCAAGTAATGCGGAAGTATAAATAATATTATGAATTAAATCTATTAAAAATAGAAATAACAAATATAAAATTAGAATTGGAGTAAACCTAAGTTACAATTAGCTTTCTCTGGGATATCATCGTTGTCAGATTGGTTGAATATTTGCTGAATTTGATCTATTTAAGCCCTCTACTTTTATACAAAATTGTATATATATATATTGATTTTCGTATAAATTTGACACAGTTGTATATCAATTTCTCGAGATAGAAACATCAGATATAACTTTCATGGGTCGCGATCGAGAGCTAAAGTGATAAGTTTTCAGCCTACACTCCCTTTCATTTTTCCTTTACAGTCCCTTAAACCCCAGTTTTAATATCAGCGATCCCTCCCTTCAAACAATTATTCAACAAGAGCATATTTTATTATCCTACACGTGGAAACATACATGTGATCTAAATATAAAGATTATTATCTGTAAAGAATCTGGTCCAAAACGTAGATCTCTTCTAATTATCTCCACTTAAGTAATCAACTTATTTAATGGAACCTAATTAATGCAACATTTGTTACTACAAATAAAATTGTATGCAGTGAGAACCAGAAAACTGTGGAAAGCGAAGACGACATTATATTTGATATTGCTACAATTTACTCGTACCTATCTAAATTCACTTATCAAGTTAAATGGGTCTATTTACACTGCACAATTTCTGTGTTCATTAGACTATTAAACTTATAACTTTAGTCTAAATTGCGTCTTCATATTCCAGAGTTTTCTGGTTCTCACTGTATTTCTAAGAGAAATATTAAGGCACTAAAAAAGCGCAAACTTGAACTTTTAAAAAGCCCATGTAAATCCTGTCAAGACGACATCTAGCGTTCTATCTGTGGTTTTATTAATCTATGATGTTATCAAACCAGAACCAAAAACACAGTATTATTTAATTTTTCTGTTCTTACCTTTTTTCCCGAGTATAAAGTTGCTTGTTGATGAAGGTTATGTTCTAGAGGTGGGCTGGGGGCAAGTAATTTTCTGACGCAGCTTTGGTCCGAGCTGTCAGATTAGGAAAAATTTCAAAACATAAATATCTAAAACTAAAAATGTTGTGCTTTTTTCTCTATTTTTAGATGAAAAATAGGTTTTAAAGTTTTTGTCTAAATATATGGTTATTATAGTTCACAACAACATCCAGAGCGCCATCTCCTGGAAAAAGGTGTAATGTTAACGTTAAAAAGGTGTAATGTTAACGTTAAAAAGGTGTAATGTTAACGTTAAAAAACTTTAAGGAAAATTGTGAAAATGACAGGATTTTGTCGTCTAAAAAATCATTACACATTTACAACCTACATTTTTACTTTTTTTAAACGTCTCCGTCTCCCCACCCTTACAAAATATTTCATTTGCGCCTCTGTGTTCATCCCTCGGATCCCTTGCTCTATTAAACATAAACATAAATTTGGCTTGTCCAAAAGTCTGAACTGATCGCACCCACATTTTTTTGTGACAACTCACATGACCATGAGGTTTATATTGATGATGATTAAAGATAAAAATGTCGACATTTCTTTTGAAAATGTGCAAAAAAAATCCGCGAACTTCGATTTAGAAAGAAAAATGTCAGAGCAACGGATAAGAGCTAGAATTAATTGGCGCAAAGCCCCCTAAAAGCCTAGTATTCAATACTTGACTGAACGTTCTGACTTAAACCTAGTTCATTCCGTCAATATTCCATTATTGGAGTATATACAGTACTCCCAGTTCATTCCATCAATATTCCATTATAGGAGAATATACAGTACTCCTAGTTCATTCCGTCAATATTCCATTATAGGAGTATATACAGTTCATTCCGTCAATATTCCATTATAGGAGTATATACAGTACTCCTAGTTCATTCCGTCAATATTCCATTATAGGAGTATATACAGTACTCAACCTAGTTCATTCCGTCAATATTCCATTATAGGA